AAGATGTAATTAAATAATATTTCTAATTTATACTGTTAATAATTATTTAAAAATTGGAGGCTGTATACGTCAGTAATTTCAAGAATAAGGATATATTTTATTCAAAGAATTATGCATGATCTAGAAAGTAATTAATAATATTCAACCTTTTTTTAAATAAGAATATTGGAAACAATTATATATTTCACATAATAAGAAAAGTTAAAATTATTTACTTTAATGTGAAATTAGATTACTCCATGTTGTATATGAGAGATCTTTTGTTTTCAATGCAAAGCTTCATTATAAAGCTTCATATTTCGAAGAACGTGCTTATAAATATTTTTTGTTCTGTTGTCATAACATGTGTCGGTAACCCGTTTAATAGAAATATATGTATATATAACTGACTTATTAGCAGCAAAGAGATATTATGTTCCAAGATGAAACGCAAAAATGTTTATTTTTATTTGAAATTTCTTAATAATTAAAATAATATCTTGGCATAAACCATCAGTAAACCAATCAAAATCAATAACTCAAAGAATAACACCTCAATTTTTAAACAATAGTTTGGAGCATCTTAAATTTGTTCTTAAATAATTTACTTTGTTGTTATTTAGATTTATGATTAAAAGTAAAATCTGTTAGCGATTATTATAACTTTAATATTTTAATCTTTAGTTTTTGATAATATTAAAACATTGTTATTGTATTTATATTTGTAAATTCTACTTGACATTTCAACTGATATTTTGTAATAAACGCGGTTCAGCTGATCGGAATATTTTTAATCAAAAAACTATGTGTGAATATTGCATAGTCGATTTTAAGTGTCTGGATCAGTAATTTTCTGGAATGTCACACGTCTCGACTGGTTTGGCGCTCAGCTGCTCCCGCTGAAGGGTGTTATTTATTTCGGATGTTAGCGTGTACAGACAATATAGGTCCGGTTCACGTTTGCTGTTTCGTCATGCCGCTTTTTTCAGTCGTTCACCTTCGGAACTGCCTTGTGCGAAATTTTCGCATTATCACTGCCGTAAATCACTTAAAAACAGACGCATTATTGGATTCGCTCGCAAAGTCATTCATCATCTTTTAACGATTTCCAATCTCAACTGGCAATTTCACATTTTAATTTTTAAATGTTATGTATAGAGTATTACAGAGTTAAGGAAAGAGTCAGAGATATTAAAGATATTTTGAAACAAGATATTTATGAGCATGTGAATTTGAATTATTTTAAAATATTGTTTCAAATATTCTTAAAAATTCGACGTTACGAAAATAACGCTATTCCAAGAATGCAATATTTTAAAATATTATAAATATAATGAATATAATAAAAAATGTATATTGTGTTGAAATATATATAATCAAATGTCATAAATGCGGCGAACATGTAACATTTTGATAATTTGATTTTTGAGATTTCGCAATTTAAATGCTAAAAAAAATCCGGCATTCCGAAGAGCGGATTTGTCGATTCAAGCGAGTGGACATTTTTCCGCGAGTTCGATCTCGCGTCGCGATTGCATCTTGATCGTGAATCTTTCGTCGACCACAACCGCGATTACATTCGTGGCATGGCGCAGACTCGTTTTCCCTTCTAACTCCCTCTTCGATATATCCCCTTCACTCTTTCTTCCTATTCTCCATTCCGTTTCTCTTCTTTCGTTCATCTCTATTTCTCTTTGTCTTCTCTTCGACCGCCACCTCCCCCTCTTCTCTCTTTCTCACACATACACACATCACCCACGCACACACTTGTCCACTTTTTATCTGTTCCTTTTCCGTCTCTTTCTTTAAGCCATTTCAAAGAAGAGGCCTATTTGCAACTAAGAACAATGTAAGAGCAAAGATGACGAGACGGGTCGGCATACACTGATAATGACAGCTTGCGAATCCATTTTGCGCTTGGCGTCGATTTTCTTACAAATCCTGTGATGTTGCAAGAAAGGTTATGATGCGTGAATAAAAATTATATATGCATAGGTGCCGACTGCATTTTTCAATTTTTATTGCTCAATTAGAAAGAATACAGAATAAAATATGTTAATTCTAAATTATTTTCTTTATATACTTTTCTGTATATATTTTTCT